AGAAGTTAGAAGCCAGCATAGATTCTCTGACATTGGTTCACTTCCCACGGTAACAGAGGAGCACTTCAGCTGCTGCAGTCGCTCCTTCTGCCCAAAAGCAGACAAAGGCTGGAAAATCCAGTGAAAGAGAGTGGTCGAGCCAACCTGGTGTAGTGGTTAAGCACGCAGGACTGGGACTCAGGCGATCCGGGTTCTAGTCCCTGTTCCGCCACGGACCTCAGTAGGTGACTTTGGGCCAGTCACAGACTCTCAGCCCAACCTACCTCACAGGGTTGTTGTTCTGGGAATAAGATTGAGAGCAGCAGGAGGAGACTGATGGAAGCTGCCTTGAGTGCTTTTAAAAAAAGCAAAGGGCAGGATATAAATCTAATGCATGCATAGGTAGTAGAGATGGCGACCTCTGCAGGGCTAAACTAGCTGTCAGGGGAAATGGCATAGGATTTGTCCTATCTGCAAGTGTGTTTCAAGGGGAATTTCCAGATTTTGCAGTCATTTCACTAACAGACTCTAGACCCCATGAGCGCCCGCTTACGCATGACATGAGCTGTATTTAACTATTAAAACGTGCCCTTTAAATATATTAAAGATCGTGTGCTCTTTGTTATGAAAGGGCATGTGATAGTATGTCCTTTGTTAAAGCTAGTGAGGAAAACACACATCTCGTGTGATACGAGTACAAAGGGGAAATGGGGCTGGGGGAGATCATCCTAACTTTCTTAAAATCAGAATGGTTTCAGCAATATTTCTGAAATGTACTTGTGCTGGAAATAAGCGTTGGCTTTATGTAACTTGAAAACATCCGCAAGATGAGAGAAAGTTTGAGGGGGGAAAGAGCAGTTTAAAGAGGAAATGCAGTGATGGGGAAATCTTGTTTCGGTAAAAAAGAATCTTGAAAAACTGGCAACGTGTTCGGGAAACTATTTCTGAAGAAATTATAGGCGGCTCACTTTAAGCATGATTCTATCCATTCTCCCTCTTTTGCAGTTGGTGGAACGGTGTGTCTTGATGCAGCAATATCGGTTGGTTTGTTTTTTAAAGTCTAGGGGCCTCCTAATGAATTGCTGCTGCAGATGCGGTCGGCATTATGCGCTGCCGCACATTAGATTTGCAGGGGAGGGAGAAGAAACAGCAAAGGGGGCGTTTCCTTCTCCTGCCAGGCCAGTCACATCTTTGGGGAAGCACCCTCTGCGGCTGCCTTGCTGCCCCCCAAGCGGCCTCTCGGCTTCCCCGGCCAAGTCCCATCTCCGAGGCCTCAGGGACTGCTGCTCTGAAAGGGCCGCCAGTTCTGGCCAGCAGAGCAACGTCGGCATTTTATTTTATTTTATTTTATTTTATTTTATTTATTTATTAAAACATTTTTATGCCGCCCCATTCGCCGAAGCCTCGGGGTGGCTTACAACATGGGTGGCTCACTGCTTTCTTGTAGCTCCTGAGCACTTCTGAGCTGGGATAGGAAAACCGCTAGGGCACAAAAGGGAATTAAGCCTCCTGCCACCGTCTTTAGCATCTGCCTCTCTAGCTGTCCAGGTACCCACACAGAAGAAAGGGCCCGTTGAAGGGGATGGGCAAAGATGGCTGCGCCAGTGGTCAACCGACCCCGTGGGTGCCCAACGCAATGCAGAGCCCTGCGAGGGGAGCTGGCCTGTGTCCCCGGTGCAGCCAGAATCAGCAAGGGCCGCTTTCCTTTTCCAGGGGGAAAACAGCAGAATCGAGCATGATACATTCTTAGTGTTCTGCTCCACCCTGTGGCTGAAAGAAGCAACTGCGAGCAATTGCTCTTTTAAAAGAATGGTTTTGTTCTCTGCTTTATTGAGCCCTGTAGCAGAGTCATCTCTTTTCTCCTGTATGTTGTCCTGAGAATTGGTCTTCTTTTTCTTCTCCTCTTGAATAACTGGATAATGGAACCAAATAACAGACTGAGCCATATGATGGCTGTGCTCAAGATTATTGCAATATTACTATTATTATTATTATTAGTAGTAGTAGTAGTAGTAGTAGTTGTGGTTGTTACATGCTGTCAAGTCATCTCTGTCCTATGGCAATCCTGTGAATTCATGCCCTCCAAAATGTCATATTCATGACAGCCCAGCTCAGCTCTTGTAAATTTGAGGCTGTGGCTTCCTTGGTGGAATTGATTGTTTGCTATTTGCTCTTCTGCTTCTACATTGGCCTTCCACTTTCCAGAGCATGATTGTCTCCTCCAGGAAGTCTTGCCTTCTCATGATGTGTCCAAAGTAAGATAGCCTCAGTTTTGTCAGTTTTACTTCTAGAGAAAACTCTGGCTTGAGTTGATCCAGGATCCATTGATTCATCTTTCCGTCAGTCCAGGATATTCACAAAAATCAGTAAGGGTTAATTAGTAATGATTAATTATATTTCTATCATGCCCAGTAACCAAAGCTCTCTTGGAGGTTCACGACATGGGGAGATGGGGAGGTAATACGCATTTAACTCTTTGCAGATTGTCACTGGATGAGGGTAGTCATTGGTGCAACTCCAAAAAAAGGGAAATGGATCAGATAAAAGAGGACACAGATGGGCATAAAATGCACATAGGCTAAATTATATGAAGAGATTCAGATTTCAAAATACTTCTATCATTTCATAAATGGAAAGAGCATCCATCTCACTTAAGTGGGAAAGCTTGCAGCTGTCCAGGTCCTAACCGTTCAAGGCCTCGATTCTCTCCCTAATTTTGGTTCTTTGCCTGACTTGATCTGGACAACAAAGAATCGTCCCCCATTTGGTAGGACACAAGGCCACCCTGCGCTGGGCATGCCGCCTTCTCATGATGCTGCAGTCATGGACACACAAGCCTGTGTGTATGGACCTGGCTGTGAAGCAAAGTACATGAGGGAGTCAGGCAAATTTTAACGCACCCTCTGCATAAGGCATCACACAGTGGGTGTGTTGCCAACTAGTGGAAAATGGGCTAGGAATTAAACAAATAAAACCCCAAAGAACTCACATTTTATACACCAAATAAATGACGCTAAGCACGTGTTTTCTTTTGGTAGCCAGCTTTTCTCTCTGCTTTTTGCACCTCAGTCCTTTTGGCCATCACCAAAACCTCACTGCAAAAAAGATTCATCTCTCCTTCACTCGTGCCTTCCTCAAATCTGCCCACTTGGGTCCCCACTCTCTTTGGAAACCTTGCCCTATGAGGACAGACTGAGAGAACTGGGCATGTTCAGCCTTGAGAAGAGAAGACTGGGGGAGGATGTGATATCCCTCTATAAGTACCTCAAAGGCTGTCACAAAGAGGAAGGTCAAGATCACTTCTTGCTGATACCAGAATGTAGAACACAGAATGATCAAGTTGTGAGAACCCAGCTTCAGGCAAGATATCAGGAAGAGCTTCCTCACTGTCACAGCAATACAACAGTGGAACCAGCTGCCTGGGGAGGTGGTGGGCTCTCCCACACTAGAGACATTCAAGAAGAACCTGGACAGCCATCTAAGTCAGATGGTGAAATGTGGTGTCCTGCAACAGCAGGGGGTTGGACTCAGTGGCCTTCAAGGCCCCTTCCAACTCTACTATTCTATGAGTCTATGGTTCTTACACCTTTGGTGCCCTAGGATGACTTTGGGAGGATTGGCCATGAGGGAGGGTCCAACAACGCATGGTGAACCTGACCATCTCTCAGGATTTTTTTGCTAAGAACCAACCCATTGTGGGTTATTGCCAGTGTGCTGTGAACCTGCCTGTTCAGTCACTCAAGATAGCAACACTGATTCTCTACTTAAAACCTACTGCCAACCTCTGTAAAAAACACAGGGTAGAGTTCAATAATAAAAGTGTTTGTACCCACTTACATAATTCCGATTGTCATTTATCTTTTATTTTGTGACATTCAAATAAAAAAAAGGAAATACAGGTTAGCTAAGACAGTACAGTGTATTCTGCATTACTGTGGTTTGTCCACTGAAATTTGATCCTGTTTGGGAGGAGAGCCGTGTCGCTTTGCCACCCTGCTCACATCCTGGCAAACTTTGCTGTTTCTGAAAGGATGATGCTCTGAAGCTTGTAAGCATTCCAGCTGCACTAATGTGACGTCCCCGCAGAAGTTAAAAAAATCAGTCCTCAGACAGTTCTGCAAACAAAACTGCACATAAAACCAGCATTGTCCCTAAACCTGTACTGTTGAATAATGAGCACAAAATTTTCAGGAGTGGTGCAGGTCTACAATGCACCGTGTCGTGGTCCAGCTCTCACAAATTGATCTAATCAGGACAATCAATTTAGCTATTTAAAATGGCATTTGTTTTACACTTGCAAATTGCCATGGGATTTTCTTGAGAAAGGCACCTCGGAAATCTACATAAAAATGGCAGCGATAATATAGTTGCTGGGATTATTTACTGAAGAGGAATTCTAGAAATGTCCTCAGGCGCCCTGCATGGGTTGATCCTTTTAGGAGGACTCTGACTGGGCTTGCGTGGCCACCACAGCCCATCGTGGCTCATGAAACCACAGTGGGGTGGGGTGCTTTGGCTGCCCTTTGAATATTCAAGCGTGGGCAGGTCCTCATCATGGTTTTCCCACACGTGCAAACCCATTGAGGTAGGGTTATGCAAGGGCCAAGCAACCCTTACATAACCCTAACACAGGCCCACTTGGTGATGTGGTGAGTCTGCAAACTGGGCCACTGGGTCTTTCCATGAAAGACAAGGAATGGAGTGAGATGGGGGCTGGCTGGGGCGGGGGGGGGGGCACACTTGTTGGTCTCCCTGGTGTTCTACAGAGCAATGAAAGTCTTCCAGTTACAGCTGCCAAAATACCCCAGGAGGATACCATTTGGTAATGCACAATTCCAACATCCAAATCTTTTGAAGATTCCTTTCCTTTCCTTTCCAGAATACAAACTGACCAAATGACAAGTGGGTGGGAGGAAGGAAGAATATATCCGAATCCTGCAAAGAGAGCGATTAGGATGCAGGAGGGCGTGGATCTGGTGATGCTTGACGTTCTTCTTCTGCTCTGAGTATCACTGTGACCGTTATTTCTTAAGTCCGAGCTTTTTCTCCAGGTCACTCACAGCATTCACTGCTTGTCCCACTGCCTTCCCCACGCCGTCCTCAGCCTGCTTGCAGGCCTGGTCCAGAGCTGTAAAACGCAAGGGAGGTCACGGTTAATCATTCCCCCAGCTCTGGCCCCATCGGCTCTCAGAGGAACGGCAGCCTGCAGCTGGAGGAAGGCCCCGAAACGTGGCTGCAGCATCCCATCCCCACGCTTCTTCCACTCAACCAGGGCTCAGGGATGAACCGTCCTCCCGGCCAGTGACAAGCCTCCCGTGATTCTCGCGTTCCCCCTCCCTTGAGGTGGCACCGGGAGAGACGGGTGGCGGGCCAGATCCAGTGCATGTGTGGATGCACGATGCATCTGGGCCTGGGCCTGCTGGAGCTCTGCTCAGCTTGGCCAGTCCTGCTGCTGCTGCGGCGGCTGCTGGGAGATGGTGGCGGCATGGAGAGGCGTTCTGGGCCGGCCGACCTGTTCTTGTTGGTGCCTGCCCTATAACGCTGCCCCCTGCCAGGGGTGTTGTGCAGGTTTGGGGTCCTGCTCCATGCTGCCGCCTTCGACGGGGCAGGCCAGTTTTTAGTTCAGATTTCCAAGATACGGCGTCCCATCTTACTTTGCAACGTGGGACTGTGGTATTTGTGTAGCGACAACAGCGTCACCCACTGTTCAGAAGGAGAAGGGGCACAGTGAGAGCCTCCCCGCTTACTCCTCTGCTCTCAGCTTCCCCGCTCCCAAAGCTCCTGGGGATGATGGGCATTGTGTGCCGCATATCTGGTAGGTGCCAGGTCAGGCAAGACTGTGTCTGGTTGTGTGGTTTTGAAGGGGTGGGAGCTGTGCCTGGCTGCGGCTGTGAGCTAAATACAAAGAGCAAGACGCGCGCGTTCGGCAGGCCTGTGGCAGAAACGTGCCCAGAGCCTCGTTTCTCTCCTACCTTTCTGACCCGCCTCTGCTGCTTGGTTCACCGCTTGCTCCGTGGCCTTTCCCAGGGTGTCCGCTGCAATCAGCAAAAGCAAGATATGTTAGTCTGTGGCAAGGAGGGAAGCCAGAAATATGGCAAGCGGTGGGCGGTCAGCCATAGAACAAGCGTAGCATCGCATTTCCAGGCACCCTGGCAGCAAAACTAGGAGCTTGATTCAGTCCCTGGCATGTGGTCATTCAGGGCGTCCTCCTTCACAGAAGACCATCTTGCAATTGAAGCACTATATGACGGCAGTTCTCTATTTGAAAGCACGTTCTGTTTCAAGGGTGGTAAAGCCTGTGGTCCTCAGAGGTTGTCGGACTACAAATCCCATCATCCGTGGTCATTTGCCATGGTAGAGGGGGCTGATGGGAGTTGGAGGTCCAATAACATTTGGACAGCCACGGGTTTCTCCACCCCTGCTCCATTTGATGGACCACTTGAAGAATCGTATGGAAGGAGGACATGGACGGCTTTTTACCTTCCCTGTCCTACCTGGGCAGCAGACCAAGAAAGATGGACAAGTCCATCTTCCTCAGTGCGGTGAGCTGTTTGGTTTTAATATTTACATTACAGTTCTTATATTTATCTTTGCATTTATGTATATAAATTGGAGCAGGCAAATGTGATCCGAATTGGCGCCCTCTGTTTGGGAGATGCGTAAGCAGCCATGTCTTCACATCTGCTGAAGGTTTGTGTGTGTGATCAGGTAGGTGGGTCACAACCTGTGGGAAGCCCCCTGCTCCAAAGTACATAGGACAATCACACTTTGCAAAAACCGACAATATATTGGCCACGCATCAGCAGACAGCATCAGGATGTTCTTGGAGAATGTGCTGAGTATGGAGATTACGAAGGATAAACAAGAGCTCCCTTGTCGCAGCACCTGAGTGAGTGTCCATAGCATTTAAGGACATGGATAGGAAGGCAAGCAGGGGGCTGTTTCTGAAAAAGCAAAGCGGTCCTTCTTTTGCTGGAAAGGCAGCGACTTCACAAGCCATGAATAAGCACAAGAGGTTGTCGGAGCAGAAAACTCTCGTCGCCATATCTGAGTGAGCCTCAGCAACGACTCTCTCATCCCACATTAGAACCACATCCTTGGGGCGCGTGGTGAGAAGAGCAGACCAGACTCATGCCAAGGAAAGTTGAAAGCAGAAGGAAACAAGGAAGACCAAGTCTGCATGGACGAGCTCCATAAAGGAAGCCTCAGCCTTGAGTTTACAAGAGCTAAGCGGGGCTTTTCGGGACAAGATATTTTGGAGGGCTCTCATTTGTAAGGGCACCACAAGCCCAAGACAACTTGATGGCACCCAACCACAGAGTGTTTCTCGCATGCCACATAGGATATCTGAAACAAGGTCAGTTGAAGACATCTTGCTTGGGATAAGACTTCGTTTTCAGTTCAGTCAACAGAGCAATCCAAATCTGCACTATGGGGCTGTGTGCCTCCCTTTCCCATAATTCCCAAGATATGCCCACCAGACCCCCAAAGCCAGGGAGAAATATGTACTATAAGATGCCATCAGTCTTATAGGTATCATCCCTCCTCCCATGAGGAATTCCTCGCAGAGCCTGAACCTATCCTGGAGGAAGGCTGGGGCGTGGGCTACCGGGGATGGCAGCATCACGCTGGCTCCGGTCTGAAACATTCCTGAAGCAACCCAGTCTTTCTGGACCTCAGACCAAATGGAAAGTTGGGGCAACTGAGCGTGGGTGCAGGCCATATTCTTCCTTTAGGCTCACACAGCAGCCTGCCCCAAACTCGTGCCCTTCAGATCTGAGGTCTGCTGGAATCCCCTGGGAGATCTGAGTTCTCGTCCTTACTTGTCCATGAGGCTCACTGGGTGACTTTGGACCGGTCACGGATTCCCAGATTAATCTGCCCCACAGTTCTTCAAGACTTTTAGGCACCGGTGCGCCTATTCTGCATAATGTGTCTGCCGAAACCCAATCCAAACTGCTCTCAGTCATTACATCTTATGGGAGTGGATTCAGCATGCCATCAGGCAAGATGCGGACAGACCAGAGGTCACACGCTCGAAGCTCCCCGAGTGGCCCACTTGGGCGTCCTCCCTCAACCCAGCTTGGGGTTGTGTGGTCTTGGTCTTCCATCTTAAACTCAGGAAATCGGAGATGGGGAATACAGGGCCGGCCTAATGATGTTGGACTGCAATCCCACCGTCCGTCAGTGTTGGTCAGGCTGGCTGTGGCTGATGGGAATGCCAATCCAACAGCATCTGGAAGGCAACACCTATGCTGGGAATATTGCTCTGGCATTCTGAGAGGAAAGGCAATGCCATGAATGCACAGGGTGCTTCCAGGCAGAAGCGGCCGGCACTGGCAATCAACAAGCATTGGTCAACTATGCATTTGACGGCATTTTGATAGCAACTCCTTAGCATTTTGGGAAATGATGGGAGGAATTGAAGCAGAGGTGGCGTAAGGGGGTGGCCTACCTGGGCAGGAGCCCTAAATATCTCTCTCTCTCTCTCTCTCAGGGGTAGGGCCATAGGTCTTTTGCATACTTAACACAACCTCTGGACAGAAGAAGCAATGGAAAGCCCAAGCAGTAATAAATGGAAGACAGTGGCGTCTGGACCTCACATAAAGTTCCATGAAGGAAGCAGGATGATTGCACAACAAAAGCCTTGTCTGGAAGCCCCGTTAGTAAATGACAGCAATTGCCAGGCTCAGGATCATGCTGCCATAAAATCAGTGAAGACCTGCTAGAGTTGGACCCAGGTTGCCCAAAAGCTAAACCATACATTCAACAGCGTCAAGTGGTTAGGCTCTTTCTGGACCATTCCACTTCAGACTGCCCATGGGGGGAATCACACACTCCAGTGTTGTCTCCCATGCTGGAAAACATAGAAACTTCCCTGAATATAGAAACCATACCCACTACGCAGTCAGGGTCTTGGTATGTCATATTTTTTGTGACAGTAGATTCCAGTTTCCAACGCCACACTCTGCAGCCTTGAGTGGTACAAACCAAGGAATAAACTTGACTCTACCAAAAGCACCATGCAGCTGAAAGCACAACTCCGCAGTGGGTTTTCAACGTGCAAATGAAAGAGAAAGGATTTCTTACCAACATCTTGCATTGCGCCCTGGGGTTTTTGTGTGAAGCCCCTGCGAGACATGGCTGCTCCCAGTAGCTTCGATTCTTAAACAAATAGAAATAAAAGCAACTTTCTGAGCATCTGTGGTGGTATATCCAGATTCATTGCTTTTATACATGCATTAGGGCCCTTCCCCAGTGCTCACCTGGCACATATTTTCAATAGGTGGAGCTCCTGGATGGCTCAGCATTTTGAGCACCAAAGACATGTACCATCACCTTTCCCAGGGGGAGGGTGGACCTCAGCTTGCGTTTTGTTTCCGCATCATTACTCCAAAATTGTTTCTGAATGGAAAATAACAGGGCAAACAACCAGCACGTCCCCCCCCCCCCCGGGCAACAAAAGGGCATGAGAGTCATAGTTGTCCCTCGATACCTCAGCATCTGCATCCTTAGGAGATGGCCCATAATAGTCTGGGTTCTCACTTGTTTGTTTTTCCGATGGATTTCATGTTTAAGGGACAGCAGCAGTTCACCACCGGGGCATGAGGCACATGGATCACGGACTGCCATGATGAAAGAAGTGCATTTCTTTTGGCCTGGTATTTCATCCTAGGCTTGTGTACCTCCTCAGTCCATGGTCCAGCTGCTACCTGTGGATGGACAGCTTCAAGGCCCAGCTGCTATCTCTTCTTACAGTTTTTCAGGCAGGCTTGGTCCAAGCAGCCGGTCAAATAGAAGATGTTTTCAGATAAAGGACTGACCTCTGACAGCTCTTCAGACAAAGAGCCGTCTTAGGTAAGTGGGACACCTGTCCAGCCTATCCTGAAAGGGTGTGTCTTTCCCATGTCAAGTCCGAGATGCTCTTGATGACCACTACATTGGGTGTTTTATAATTGTTTGAGGATCTTCAGGGAACTGCACTGGGACTTGAATTCCTGTGCTTATGAACCATTCAGAAGGCCACAGAAGAAGTCAAGTTCAAGCGAAGGCAGGGCAGGGCAGGGCAGGGCAGGGCTGGGAGAAATATCTTAAACTTAATCTGCAGTTTGCATCGCCTTACTTCCATTTTTGGTCTCAAGAAGCTGCAAGGGATGGCTGTGTGGTCGGCCATTAGTCCAAATGGAGGGGTCAAGCAGCATATTTAAATTAGCCTTCCCTAACCTGGTGCCCTGCACATCATGGGAGTTGTAGTCCAATACCCCTTGAGGGTGCCAGGTTGCAGAAGGGCAATATAGAACTGAGGATAGATGAGGAGCACTTGAATTTGCTTGCTTTCTCTCTTTCTCTTTCCTTCTGCCTAATCTCTTCTCACAGAATTGTTATAGGGATCAGAAAACTGGAGCCTTGGATGCTCTAACTAACCTGAAATATTTATGCTGAACAGTGGAATAAAAAGTAGCTTAAATTAATGAATAACATCTTTAAATATTTATAATATTAAACTTAAGATACTAGGTTTGCTGTGATATGGAAGAATATTGCTGTGAGGTAAGCTTTCCCTGTAAGCTTTCCATGGTGTGTGAAGCCATCCAGAGAGCATTTATGACTAATGGGGCAGGTATAAAAACAATAAAATAAAATAGATAAAAACAACTAACAAGAGTTTAAAATTAATTTTAAAATAATTAATTAATTTTAGAGGGTCAGCCTATGAAAGTTTAGAGAGTAAACTGGTTGGAGCAGCTGGAGATGCATTTATGTATTTACTTTTATGCTCATATCTTGCCTTTTTTCCTTTTGAGGCACTACAGGCAGCTTACACAGTTCTCAATCTTATCCCCAGAACAACAACCCTGTGAGGTCGGCTGGGCTGAGAGTCTGTGACTGACCCAAAATCACTCAGTAAGTTCAATGGCTGAGCGGGGACTGGAACCTGAATCTCCTGAGTCCCAGTCCTGTCATCTTAACCCCTGCGCCACACTCTCTTTCTCCTCTCTCTTTTTTGTAGGCCTTCTTCTGTTCAAACCCAATGTGTTGGACTATGAATCCAATCCCTTCCTAGGCATAAGATAATTTTAAAAAATGGATGGCTGCATAATGAGTTGGAGATGCCCATCTGCAATGCGTATAATAATTTTAGGTTCTTTTCGGAAGATCCCCCTTCTGCCATGGTGATGATTTGACATTTACGTTCAGGTTCTTCCCATTGTGCAGCCTGCAAGCTTTATGTCAATACTTACTCAGGCTGCCATTGGTCGTGTCCCTGTTATTGACTCTAGTAATCGTATCTCTGAACTAGTGTATTTTAGTAAATGAGGCATCCCCTGCGTGCCATTTAATGCAGCATTGGACAGCCCATTAATGTCTCCTGCCTGTTGACTCGGATTTTTAAAAAGCAAAGAGAGCAAACAGCCACGCAACACTGGCAAATAAGCATTAAGTATGGTCCAGATGGGGCAGGTGGAGGTGGAGGCAGGAAAAGAACCCAGAAGGCAACACAATTAAGTTCTAGGGAGAAACAAAGTTCCTCTGTTGGCTTAAAAAACACAGTCATGGACAGAGGTAACCTATTTCATTGATTCCAGAGTGATCTTGGCCACAGACATTCCAGCTTGTAAGATATATCAGTGCCCTGATTCGTGACTTCCACTCCTTTTAAAACGTACGCATTGCAGCTAATCTATTTTCATTTTATTTCATTTCTATACAGCCCAGTAACTGAAGCAACATTTCATCAAGCAGGCATATCACAAAGCGGCTAAAGCTAATATGGGAGGGACACCGCAGATGCAAGAGCACTGCATATTTTAGGTCTGGGTAAAACTGGGTGGTTTAACCGCGGGCAGTTTATGGGATGAGGAACATTTGAACATCACCAAAGCAGAAGACAAAAGAGGCAAAACAGGCCAGCGATCTGCACTGCATTTGTCTATGCAATGTATATGTACCCATTCAAGTGTACAGATAGTTTTAATTTAAATAGAAGCACAAGGCGTCTCAGCATGATGAGGAAGGCTGCCTCTTAAGGTGAGCTGGGTGCCTCTTCAGTCTGCGATCCCTGTGCTACTTTCGGATGTGCAACTTCAAGGCCTCAGTCGCTTTACCTTCTCGGGTGTTTCAGCTTTCAACCAGGCGTGGTCTTGGAGGCCCATCACATGGAGGATCCTCTGACCCAGGGCCGGGCCTGCCGCATTTCGCCAACCCTCGTTTCATGCTGCTGAGCAAAGACAGTGGGCAGCTCTGGATCTGTGAACCTCGGAAAGGAGATGCTTGATGGCCTCTCTAATTGATCTTGGCACAACCCCCAGTGACTTTCCTTTGGCCAGAAATACCAGGTGCGCACACCTAACCGAAGGAGTTGTTTGCTTTGAAGTTACACAAGGTGGGAAAGGCATGATTCACGCTCTTCTGCTCAATGTTCCAAGCTGTAGTTTTGCATTTCAGTCTTTAGCTCTGCCCCAGGGCTACTGGACAAATCGCATCACATCATGTCTTGTTAATGGTGGTGAACTTTATTGAAAGAACTGTGTGGGAATGTAGCTGATGCGTGCAGTGAAAAAAGGATTGATAAAGAATGATTTTAATGATATATGGGTGCATTTACTGAATATCTACTAATAAAAGGGAAAGGTTTTAAACCTTCAGCAATGGTAGAAACCTTTACCAGGAAAAAGGCAGCTTCTGCTTATCTGAAGGTGGCAGGAAGAAAACAGTTGCTTTGGACTGACATAAGCACAAATGTGTTTGTGGAAACAGCTAGAACGATGAAAGAAGCCACTGCCCTTTCTTCTATTGTGCTGAAAGTGTGCCTTGTCTAATGTTCAGATTTATGGTTCCTGAGTGCTCTCGTAAATGTTTCCTCCCTCCCTCCAGACTCGGTTCAAGCATATGAAAGAAGACCTCCTACAAGTTATTTTCCTTCCGGCTGTGGTTGGGCCTGCTCTGTGCTGGACTCCTCAATTTTAAGAAGACTGTTTCTCTCACCTTCTAATCAGTATCAGATTGAGTGACAGCTTTGTAAAAGGTAAAGGTAAAGGTTTCCCCTTGACATGAAGTCCAGTCATGCCTGACTCTAGGGGGCGGTGCTCATCTCCGTTTCCTGGCCAAGTGGGCCAGCATTTGTCCGCAGACAGTCTCCGTGGCCATGTGGCCGGCATGACTAAACACCCAAGTGCACGGAACGCTGTTACCTGCCCACCAAAGTGGTGCCTTTTTATCTGCTTGCATTTGCATGCTTTCGAACTGCAAGGTTGGCAGGAGCTGGGACGGAGCAACGGGAACTCACCCAGTGCGGATTCGAACCAGCGACCTTTCGATCAACCAGCCCAGCAGCACAGCGGTTTAAACCACTGCGCCACCTGCAGTCCCGACAGCTTTGTAGGGTATGGTAAATAAGACAATGCTGGGAGAACCCCAAGAACAATTAATGTGATGCAAAACTCAGATGGACTGAGTGGCTTTTGAGGTTTCTTTGGCAAGAAGGTGACCAGAGTGATTTTCTTTAATGCTGGATCTTGGTTGTTTGGGTGGCTGTGGTCCTATGGTCATTATAGTTTTATCTCATTTTTTTCTCATTCTCTCTTCTTTTGTGGGAAGGAATGAGTTTGTGGGTCCTTTTCACAACATCCTCCAGGTCCTCTCCCATGTTGCCTAACCAATTTTGATGCTTTTTTTTTTTTAAAATGTGAAAATTTTGGCATTTTTCTGAGATGGCACCATGATTTTCCATCTGAGCTCCATACCACAAGACCTCCTTGAGCTGTATAATGGAATAAACAGGAAGAAGGAGCGAGGAAAACCCCCAAGCCTCTTGTGGTGAACATCTAATACTTTGCAAAGATAGCAAGAAGCCGCAGCAAAGCACTAGGTTATATGCCTTGTATACGGAAGCCCTTTGCTTCCTTGTTTTGTTTATAATCTTTTCTAAAATCAGATAGATTTGTTTCAAATGAGAAGTTGTATATATGTACAAACACACACACACATTTAGGCATAAATGAACAAAAAGAAAACAAAGACTTAGTTGAAACAAGTTGTTTTATTTTGTCTCTTTAGAAAAAAAAATATGTCCGCCATTTCTAGGGCTCTGAAGTGCTGCTGCTAAATGGGCCAAACACATGAATCAGCGATTCTGGCCACCACTGTGCTAATCACGGCTACCAAATCACACACTCAGAAGGCTTGAAGATGGGCAAAGAAGGAAGCCACGAAGGGGACAGGAAACACGAGATGTTCTGCACACACAGTTGCCCTAAAACATTTGATCAAGAGTCTGCCAAACATCTATGATATGTTGGTATGAGGCAAGTGAAAAGGTTGCAGTGCTGCATGGAGTTAGCCTAAGTGATTTCCCTGTTCTGGTGTCAGCTAACATTTCTGTATTTACTCCTGGGAGTCTCACTTTCCACACTAGAAGACCCGGGAAGGGTTAATTGCCTTCATTTTCACCCTGGGAAGAAGAAAGACAAGAAAACAGGCTCATGTTTAATGTTAACTCTGCATCAGCAGTCCAAAGAACACAGGTGAGTGTGAATTTGAGGTCCATCCTGCAGAGGCTAAGAGAGCGGTGACAACGAGCATTTCAAGACTAGTGCTAGACCCCGTGAGCAAGGTGCCGGTCCATAAGAACCATGTAGCTGTGATGACTATCCCCCGCTCCCCGCCCCACCCTGAAATGTGTGTGTTCAATGTGGGATCAAGCAGGTAAATAGCCACTTTAGTTCCTCCCACCAATGCCATAATATCAACAAAGGAATACCGAAAATGGCTAATAAAAATGCAAATATTAGAAAAGACATGGTCAGTTTCTTGCATCAGTAGGAAACAGCGACACTCTTATGCTACAGGGAAATGACCCTAAGAACATTGGCAATATACATGTTGTGAAGTGTTTGAAATTTTGTAAATGCTAGATAGATTTTGCAAATGCTCCACAATAGGCATTGACCCTAAGATGTTTGGAATGACCCTAAGAACATTGGCAATATACATGTCGTGAAGTGTTTGAAATTTTGTAAATGCTAGATAGATTTTGCAAATGCTCCACAATAGGCATGTACTCAAACCAGACAGGAACAAGGAAAAAGACAAATATTTAGGTTATCTCAACAGTGATGGGTGAATCTCAAGTGTTTTTGCAAAATGTATCTTGGGAATGTCATCGTTGCACATGGATGTATGAATTACAAATGTGGACCAGGTGAGATAACGTTAGAGCCACAAAAGACATGAACAGGGAGGGTCGAAAAGGATGGTCTACTATTCATATTGGATGGGGAAGAAGGTGTAGTCCCAGCACGTACATTATGGATCTCAGGGTGGGAGGACATTCACAGGGGAAGAAATCATGAAGCTGGATTGGGCTGGGTGGAGAGCAGAAGAGCAGAAGAGTGAATTCCGGCAAGTGTGGGTTGTTAGACACCTGCTCAAATTCCCCTTTCAGCCTAGCTATTGAAGATGCAAAGCCCTATTCCCTCATCCAAAGCCATGGGATCTCAGCCAGATCACAGGATCCCCCATGTTTCTGCAAGGCAGTTACAGAGGTGCTGAAGATAACTTTTTAGGGGTGCACAGAACTTAGTTTCTCTTGGCATCATTTAGATCTAGCTATTTTTTCCCGTGGATGTTCTGCATTACAGATAAAAGGCAATAGTGTAACTCCTCTAATACAGAACTGTAAATAAGGTAAAACCTCCAATAATGTGAGTCTTCTAATACCCTACTTTTTTAAACCAGGATTTTAGAGAATTCAACCAATTTATGATCCCCTAAATGCTACAGAGGTAGGCACACATAATTCCAGGGAAACCATGCCTAACTTTGCTTTGCTATTAGGGCGCTTCAGAATGTCAATGAAATAATGTAGTTATGATTAACTAAATTAGAATTATCCCTTCCATGCAGTATCTGTCTTCTCACAACCTTTTTAAGGGTGAGTGATGTATGTGGTTTCTTTGTATAAGATTAACAGGTAGAATTGCTTTTCTCCCTTCTCATGCATACTTATGCACTTCTTCTCTGAAATAGTTACAATTTGTAATAATATAATATTGCAAGAAATATAATAATGACAGCAATAATAATTTGCAAGAAAGTATTTCCTGAAGGAGCGCTTACGTCCAGATCTGCAGGAGAGGCCCTTCTCTGGGAACCCTCCGTGAAGGAAATTAGGAGGGTAGGTACTCGGAGGAGGGCTTTCTCTGCGGTGGCGCCCAATCTATGGAATGCGCTCCCCAGAGAGGTCCGCCTGGCGTCGTCGTTATTGTTTTTCGGCACCAGGCAAAGACCTTTTTATTCAAATGTCATTTTAACTGCTAATACTATTTATTTATTTTATTCTTCGGCCAAGGCGACTTATTTTATATTGTTAACTTGTTCTATATTTTTATTGTCTAATATTTTAATTGATATATTTGTGAGCTGCCCCGAGGCTTTGGTGAATGGGGCGGCATAGAAATTTTCTAAATAAATAAAATAAATAAATATTTGTAAAAATATTGAAATTATTTTTAAAAATGGCAATATAAACTGGGATCAATATCCATGTATACAAATATGCCTTTGCTTTATCAAAAAAGTCTTTTTATATGGAAAAATACTCTGTACAAAGTCAGCCCTTGAGCTGTAAACTACTGACTCCAGAATATTTCCAGTAAATTGTCTGGGAATAATAATCCCAGGGGAGAAACAATAATTGTTCCTTTCCAGAAGTGAAGGCAGTATTTATATGCACATTTAACTACCCTTACCTCTGAGATACAGATTTGCTGAGTTCTGTATGAGCCTGGAAACCTATGAAATTGATTTGACCAGACAAAACACTAGGACAAAACGAATGCTTACATCACACTTCCCTCACTCCACCTTCCCATCTTTTAAAAACTGCTCTCTGTTTCTAGCCAAATACAATGTCATAATAGGCCAGGAGCAAAAAAAAGATCAGCAGAGAAAAGATCTGAAATCACCTGTATGCAGAAAAGAAATGGAAAGCAGCTCAGCACAGAGAAAGTAAGAAAAGAACAATAGATGGCGAGAAAAAGTCCCGGCCAGCCAAGGATTCGGGGGTTAGCTGGGCTGTGAGTGTGTTTTACCTCTACACCAATTTCTGTGGCTTCCACTGGGGCATCTTCTTCTGCAGCAGGTACTTCTCCAGGCTGCTCCGGGTGCTGTAAATCCTCCTGCAAAACACACCAGAAAAGGTACATCTTTATCCCAGAGGCAGAGCTTCCTAGGGAGCTTTCGCAGAGGTGTCAAGGCGATTGTGGAGCTGCAGCTCCTCCTCTGAGGCTCAGGACAAGCGAGAAGAACTCCGGGAGTTCCGTGGTTTGCAGATGTGGCCGGGAGACGGGAGAAGTTCGCTCGGCCATGCACTGCGCAATGAAAGTGGCCAGGGAGAAGGGTTGCCTAGTGCTTATCTTGTAAGCGTAGATCTCAGGCTCATCCAATGAAGCTGAGTGATGGGAGACGCGGCGCAGACGGAAGAGAGCCGTGCCACCACAAGAAGTGAGGATGGTCACCAACTTGGTGTTAAAAGGGGATTGGAGAAATTCAGAATTTCAGCTTGCTGCAGTGAACCCATTTCCTTTTCTTAGCATGGTCATTGTTTCATCATGTACAAAGGGATGTGTTGGCCTTTAACAACAATGGACACTTCATTCAGCTCGATCAGAAAAAAGTCATAATATAACAAACAGCTTTCTGGACTGTTCCAGAAGGACGCTGCAGGAAAGGAGGTGAGGCAAAGCTAATATTTGCAAAGCAGAAATGCATCTTAGTAGCTACTTGTATGCCTCTGAATCCTCAGGCTGCAGTTCTGCAGTCTCTCTCTCTCTCTCATATATGGCATATGCACTTACCTAGGAGTAATCCTACTGAACTCATAGGGGCACATGTGTGAGTGTGCATACATAGGGCAGCACTATAAAAGGATTGGCCCCATCATTCCCAGATTCTCTATGCACAGTGTTCCTGTCCCCCAGATTTCCCTTCCCTTCCCTTCCCTTCCCTTCCCTTCCCTTCCCTTCCCTTCCCTTCCCTTCCCTTC